TCCTCTGCTGATGGACATACCGTACATACATATATGGACATACATACAATAAAAAGTGTGCAAAAGTGTATTTTTACAAACTGAAATCTCTGTCCTTTCAATGTGAGCAAATATGAGCTATATAGGCATTGTTTTCTGTCAAGGACAGCTGAGCAACAAGAAGACGCAGTAGCATGAGGTAAGAGACGCTTGCAGAAGAACATGTACAAATAATGAGCAGACTTATCAATTTTCAGGTTTCTCTGAAACAAGCCACATGGTTACAAAACTCAGTGTCCTAGATACTTGGCAAAGAAGCCAAAGCTTTTGAGACAGTAAAATGATAGCAAGTGTGATTTCACATGTATTGTGTAGAACATCTTGATTTGGAAAAGAACATTCTAATTTTCAAGGCTTTCAGAAACATAGTGGATGCCGATGAAACATGGCAGTTGCTGGGCAACAACATCACCTGTATTTGCGTGCATAGGTTTTCAACGTCACTGTCTGATTTTTGCTACAGAGGTCGGTTGGGACTTCATGGACATTTTATACATAAAAATATTTTTCCCTTTCATTGTGCTTTATGCACACTGCAGTGACTACAAATCATGCAGAATCTCTTGGAACTGGGGATGAGCTTTGTGCATTAGAACAGTGACTTTAAAATGACGTGTTTCAAATGTTTATGGGTAAGAATTGAGAGAGGGATATCTGCACACTTATTGGTTTGCGAGTTGGAGCAATTTATTAATTTATTTATAACTGCTATTGCAGCACTTATTGCAACTGTGTTTCACTCTCAGAGATTAAGTTGTTCAATAACCTTTATTCTTCTAAATATTTTATGGTTTAGCTTCACAACTTTTCTGATGAAAATATTTTTTATCTGACTATTCTAAAAATGTATAATTTATGAAGTTAATATAAAACTAGAGGTGTTGATATTTTCATTATTCAGAGAAGCAGCCAAGAGGCCAATTGTAACTCTGAAGCAGCTGTGGAGATTCACAGCCAAGATAGCATGGGACATCTAAGGTAACAAATATAGCTTCCCCAAAACACTTGCATCTTAAATTTGTAGTTCCACCCAGCCTTGAATAGAAGGGAAAAGACTGTTTATGCACTCAAAACATGTCTTCTTAATTACGAGGAGTTAGGGAGTACAGGGTCTGGCTGGAGAAGCATAAGCATCAACTGAGCGATCACAGAAATGATAGGGATGTTATTTGTGAATCCACTCTTATTAGTTGGTAGTGGTACACCAAGGGTACCATGTTTTAGAGAAGGACAAAAATACAAAAAAACGAAACAAGGCACTGCTACTTCAAAGTGTATACCTTTAGGGAGCAAAAATAAAAGATCAAAGACTAAACACTCAATATTAGCCAATAGTTTGCAGAAATCTGGAAGAGAGCCTCAAACCGATTCTGCTTACAATTCACCACAGTTTAGGTTTATTTAATTTAGGTTTTTCTCAAACCCCCCACTCCCACTCAATTTCTTCTGCAAGATCCACTTTGTTTGATGACCTCTCCTTACCATTTTCTCTTCACAACCTTTCTGAATATATTTGATTTGGACATTTCTGGTCTAGAAATCAAACAGGCCATTAAAAGACCCACAACAAATAAACCTGGATCAGTGTAAGGACGCGGCTTGCGTTCCGCAGTGGAACGCAGCCGCACGACGAGGGTGCAGAGCACACCAATGCGTTCCACGCTGGAGTGCAGCGTCGTGTGGCTCCTCCCCTAATGGCAAGTGTGCACCCTGCTGACTTCACAACCCTGACGCTCCGGCTCCCCACTGGTCTACGGAACCAAAGACCATATCTGCTACTACCTACCACTACAGCCTAAACCGCAAGTACTCTGTCACTTTTGGGACTGTATCATTACTGGATAGAGTGACTGTAGCGGAAGGCTCTTCATATTCCATGGACTGTGCCTTTATCGTGTGTCTGCGTTAAGTCACTAACATACGCTTCATTGCAGAGTATATATGCTAGGGTGAACATAGAATACTGTTTGCATCTATACATATGCTACATACCGCATCATACCCCTCAGAGTGGGGAGGTAAAAGTTGAATCACTGGACTTGTGTATCTGTTTGCATACCTCTTAAGTATGAAGCAATATTCACGAGGTACATAATAGTGAGAAGGGGGTCAAAGACACATAACGGCGTATCATGGTAGAACTCCTAACTCTCCGTATTATTGTCTGAGAGTGACGCCAGGAGTTAGACACTGAATAGCCGTTACCAGAATTAATCCCCAGTCTCTGGATCAGTAGTCTCCGCAGCTGTGATCCACCCACACGTGAGTTTAGGCGTTACAATCAGATGGCTTTACAGTCTTTCCTATATGATCTGAAATCATCCTTGTTCTACATCCCTCCAGTTTATTTAACAGGATGAGGTCTGGGGGCTATCAAGATGCAGACATTCTCAAGTCTAGCTTTTTGATGACCTCCAGACATGGGCAAACTGCCAACTAAACACTGCTAACTAAATTAGCTGACCTCCTGAACCTTATTAACAACATTAAGGTTTTAAAAGTTTCAATTATATCCCCCCTTTCTCTTCTTTCCTCAAGACTTTACATATTAGGTTCCTGCAGTCTCTCTCTGATTTTTTTGCTGATGGTTTCTGGACTAGTGATATTTATCAATATCTTTTTGTAAGTGAGTTCTCTGGAACTAGTATCCTAAATGAGGTCTGATTACAGAACTATATAGTGCAATCAGCATCCTTCTTCCGGGAATGCCAAAGCATTCTCCATGTTGCAAACACCTCCACATCTTGGTGCAATCGACAAAAAAACAAACCTTACCCACCATATGTACAGCCTAATGCTGTCAAAGCTGACATTTGAATCCCCTATTTTTCTAGTTGTTAAAGGCACAAAGGATGCCTATTTTCCCTAATTTAACTCATTTTGGTTCTCAAGCCCCTAACTTATGTTGATAATAAAGACCTAGAAGTGCCAGGCCATCATCACAAATAAATGCTATTGCAGACAACATTGTACTTGTCGCTTTGCAACATGAATCCATACCTTGAAGCCTTGTTCAAGATCTTGAAGACTTCTTCAAGATTGAATTCTCTTGGGTCCCCATATTGGTAAATTGAAGTCTAAAGTAAGGGTTGGCAGAGTAAACCCTTGAAGATGTTGTAATTGCTAAACATATACCTTCCATGTTTTGCCTTCATCCTATGTATATTGCAAACTGGTTTTCAAATTGTTGGCCCCCACTTGACTCCAGATTATTAGTTCCACAAGGATAGACTTGCAGAAAGTTTAGCTGTATCTTATATTGGTAAATATTATGCAGTTTCGCAAACAGCACTGCCCCCAGGACCAGATAACTCCCAGATTCCAGTGGTGGACCATCAATTTCCTTTTCAATCTAGATATTTAATTTTTCCAAACATCTCCAGGAGTCCAGTAATGTTTTTAATCAGAAGCTTTTCTATATACTAAGCTAAAAGAATATCAAAATCTTAGCCATCTAATAGATGAGAAAATATGCCATATGTTCGGAGAGGGGTGTTTTTTAATTCATAGCTTGAGATTTAAAGCTTTTGTGCACACTTGTCTCTTATGCTTTTACAATGCTTTTACAAAACATACAAATAAAGTTCCATGATTGGAAAAAGGTGTCCTGATTACTTATTCTGCTTACATTGTAATCATTTACATTTAGCAATGCAAGAATGAATATTTTTACCACGTGTAAATGATGTGTATATCCGAGACATAAATCAGCAAAAATCTGTAACTTACCTTAAACGTACTAAGACATGCACATTTAAATATAACAAAACACACAATGCGGGCATAAAAACTGTTTTATTTTGACTAGCAAAAGTGCGATCATTCCAGAATGGGCAAGGTTAGGGATATCACAAACAATGTTAAAGAAGTAGTTTATATACAGAAGTGTCAATAAAATTTAAAAACCAATGTGTATTTTTTTAGGAAATTAAAGTTTTCTCTGTGTAGGAGTTGGTTGCCAGAGGGAATGACAGCGGGCTGTATGTGCAAGCCAGGGGTTCCAGAGGGTATGAGAGTTGGCAGTGTACACTAGAGAGAAGTATCAAAAGTATATGACAGTGGGCAGTATGTGTAGAAGAGGTACACCAGATGGTATGACAGTAGGCAATATGTGCCGAAGAGTGTATGACCACAGGCAGTATGTATAGGAGAAGAGTCCTGGAGGGTATGACATTGGGTAGTATACACAGGAGAGGAATGTGAAGGTATAAATTCAGGAAATATATACATCACAGAATTGCAGAGCGTATCACAGAGGCCAGTATGTGCATTTAAGGTTTGTTGTTAAAAGTGTCACACAGCCAATATATGCGGGAATGGATTACACTGGTTATGACAGGAGGCTATGTGCAGGAGAAGGGTGCACAGGATATGACAATGGATAGTATGTCCTGGAGGGGAGTGATAGAGGGTATGACAGCGGCCAGCATGTGTTGGAGAGTAACTCCAAAATGCATTGCAGGAGGCAGAATGTGTGTGAGATGATTGGGAGGGTATAACAGGGGACAATATTTGCATAAGAGGGTTGTGGAGAGTATGGCCAGTATGTGCAAAATTAGATTGTTTAAAAAAAACAAAACAAAAAACAAAACAAAGCAAAAGTTGATTGCATAGGGCAAAAAGGGGGGAGCAAGTGCAGACGAGGTGTGCAGAGGGTATGACAGAGGTTAGTATGCGCAGGAAATAATTGAAAAGGGTATGCCAATGGATGTAATGTTTGGGAAAGGTAGTGGGGAGAGAGGGCTATGACAACGTACACAATCTGGAGACAGGGTATGTAAGAAAAGGCGGGGAAACAGCACAAAATAATGGAGTATAGGCCATGTTCGCCTTATGGAGACAATCAGGGGTCTATTACAACCAAAAATACAGACACATGTAGAAACTGCAAACAGGCTTAAGTTCAACCTTTAATACATATACGGGTTAAGGAGGATTAGTCACAAATGATTTCCTAATTATCATCTAAATGTATTAAATTATATGTATTATGAGGAAAGCTAAAATAAATAATATCTAACATAAAATTGGTCAGCTTAAGTTAGCAATAAATTATGCACTTTATTTCAATCAGCAGACTTGTTAGTTAAGTTTCTATGGGAAAGTTAAGCAACACAATTCACTCCAGTTAAAAAAAGCAGTGCAAACAATCTGGTATTAGTTGTCATGCTTCATACGAAAGTTCAAACACTCTGTTTCCCCACCTCCAAAACCAGATACAAATATGTCTTCCGACTGCATGGAAACTAGTTGTTCGATTGTTCTCATCAAGGTTTCTTCAAGCTGACTCCTCAGTGCCTGTACAGCCAGAAGCTCATTGAGAATTTTGGAACTGAAACTAACACTGTTAAAATAAAGAGTTTATGTTACAAATTGCAAAATCAGTGCAAACGTAGACAGCAATATAAAACATTGTGGGCATTATAGAATATAAATATTCAAAAAGACCATAGAAGAGCATCACAAATGCCAGACATAGAATGCTAAATAGCTCTTCAAGATTTGTATGAATCCAAAGGCCACATATAAGAGAAAAGAAAAGAGGGGAAGAGACAGCATAAGGAAAAGAAAAAAGAGAGGAAAAGGAAAGGAGGTAGAGAGGAGAAGAAAAGAGAGGCATCCCAGGGGAAAGCTACCAAAAATGGTTAAAGGGACACTAATGATACATCAAAGTTGGGAGGATATGAGTAGGAGATCCAGGGTTGCCAAATCGACAACAATTTGGAGTGAGTATCCAACAAGATCGCAGTCAATTTCTCGTTTATATTGATGATATGTCAAACTATTCTTAACAGCAACATAGCTCAAAGTAGGCAACTTCCAGGCTCTAGCTATTGTTAATTTGGTGGCCATGAAGATATGTTGTGCAAGCTTCCGCTCATTAGGTAACAAAGAGTCTACAGGTTTGTTACGCAACGCTTCACAAGGATTTCTGGGTAGGGAGGTATGAAGGAGTGACCTTATTAGATTATATTTCCAATATCAAGACATTGCTCGAACAACTTAGAGGTAGTCTGCCAAATCTGCCAGTCCTCGGGAGATATAAGGGAGTTGAGCTCAGTTACCCTACGAGTTTGATACAATTATACAGTGGCGGTTACAGAGGACCGAAGAGAAGAGTAGATAGAGGAAATCAATCCCGTTGTGTAGGGATTCAGTCTGCATCGTAGTTCAAAAGGAGTAAGGACACACGGTGGTGACTGCCCACGAAGAATAAACAAAAGAAAGTGTCTAATGTGGAGGTATTGATAATGTTCCCGAAGTGGTACGGCATGAGTCTCGCAATTGCTGAAATGTTTTGATTCCCGATGCCACGCTATCCATTGCATGTGAAGTCCACCAGTGAAACTGTGAAGGATTATCCCTGCCTGGGGCAAACAAAGGGGAGTGACAAATTTGAAATAAGGGGAGTAAAGGAGGAATTAGTCCACCCGAAAACCTAACTGAATCCCAAAGTCGAGGAATGTGTCTCAGGATAGGGATAAGGAGTTTAGGAAGATAGGAGGGGGCCATCCAAGGAAGTGCAGAGGGAGGGACAGGATGGCCATCAACAAGGTCCAGCATGGCCCACAATGGCAAGGCAGTAGTAGACCAACGGGGCAATTTTGGCTGCCAAGTAATAGCCACAGAGGACAGGAACAGCAAATTCCCCCGCTGATTTGGGAGAAAAAAATATATATTTAGACACACCAGGGCGAGAGTGACTCCAGATGAAGTCTAGCGATTTACGTTGCTGTATCTGTAACATGTGGGAAGGTATACCTACAGGCAACACCTTAAAGGCGTACAAAATCTTGGGAAGGTATGTCATCTTGATCGCCGCTTTGCAGCCAAACCAAGAAATTGGGTAAGACCACCAAGTATCCAGAAGTGCATTTAGGTGGCGAAATAAGGGAGGGAAATTAAAGGGGGCGGGTCCTGTGCCACACCTCCTCTCCCAGCTGCGTCCCTAGTAACAGGCGATGGGAGAGGAGAAGCGTGTGTGTCACCCGCCCCGCCCCCTGCAGTGCACACATCCACACCTGCTGTGATACTGTACTGTTCCCTATTATAATCTAGTTCTCTGATTACATGATTACAAACAAGGCCTCTGTACTATCAAAGTTGGAGACTACGTTAGAATGTGTGACCGGTGAAGTGGTCACACATTTTAATGTAATCTCGCCCAGATTTCGGCGGTGGAATAGGTGAAGCATTCCAACGCTTTCTCAGTTGTTCCAGATCGGCATCGCAGATGGTATGTGCAGGAGAACCGATCTGCTCTGGAACAGCTGATCAGTCCTGAAATGTCACTTCTCTACGACTTTGTGAGTGGGGTGTATTGTGAGATTGCAGTTGGAGAGAAGTGACATTTCAGGACCGATCAGCTGTTCCAGATCGGTTCTCCTGCGCATACGATCTGCGATGCCGATCTGCCCTGGAACAGCTGACAAAGCATTGGAATTAGGGATGCACCGATACCGGTATTTTGGTACCGAGTAACTGAAGTCCCATTCAGGAAGCTCGAAGGAGCATGGAATCGGCCCCCCGGCCAATCAGAAAGCAGGGCGTCGCGTCATTACACAGCGCCCGGCCAGACTCCGGCTGGGTACCGGAGGAAGGCCGCATTCTCGCTGGAGAGGCCCCGGGGGTGACAGGCTGCACATACTAAGGTAAGGTGTGCTCTGCAGGGTCTCAGGTAAGTCCAGCATGCTACTGCAGCA